ATTTGTAAATATTGTAAATATAATTTGTTGTGTCAACATCGTACGAAAAGGGGTTTTGAAAAAAAAAAAAAACAAATATGCCTCGTCATCACGAACGTGGAATGGAATAAAAAAAAAAAAGAAAAAAAAAGAATAGAAAAAGAGCCTATTTTTTCCGTTATACTATTAGTACGGAACTAATGAAATGTGTCGGCGAAAACGCCGGAAATAACGGCGAAAGCCGCGGGTTTGTTTTATACGGTGTGAAATATTCGACGGCATTTCGCGTCGTGCGACCGAACCGAGTACCGACAAATGACCGGAACGAGACGACAATATTACATGATAATATTATAATCATTTGTAATAAGTTTATCGGAATCAGAATGGCGCGTGATCGTGATTCTATACACGACGAGAAAAACGAGTCTTTTTTTTCGTCGTCGTTGGGAGCCTCGAGGGCCAATAACCGCGGTTTGAATACGAGTGCAGGATTATAATATTATAATATATTTGAAAAACGTATACGCACTATTTACAAAAACAAAAGATAATATGCACATTTTAGATTCTGAGCGAAGTGAGCAATGTATTTGTTTTACAATGATGTTTATTTGTTTTATTTTTGTACTGCGAACAAAATTTGTCCAAAAAATCTTGCTTCGATCAAAACACGATAAGAGACCTTTTTTTTATTGAATTTCGACTTTAGTTGAAACAACTTTGAAAACGTAATTTTTTTTAATTCTCATTAATATTCGATATAATGAGGAAAAACTGGTTCTTTACATTAAAAAAGGTAAAAAGGTTAAAAATAAGGTTGTCATTGATAACTGTTTTTATGTATTTTTTATTGACATTAACTTTTTATTATTTTAATCTTTTAATCATCATTAAAAAATCGCTGTTGCCGCGAAAACACGCATTGTCGAAAAATCAATAACTATTGACCGAGCTCCGTTCAGAATCGTTTTTCGTTGCCATTTTTTGCGTACAAATATAAATTAATATTCCCCTCTTTATCCTACCTTCCCTGCTTCTCACTTACAACAGTGGCTCATCCATGGTTGCGAAGAATGTCCGTCTTTCTTTATATTTTTTTAATAATCTGATAACGCCCAATAAAGTCACGACTGATACTAAACCCTTAACTTGGTAATGTATCCCAGCACCTAGAAGATACATACACTTCAATAATTTTTTAATATTATAAATATTGAATTTTATTTTGTATATTTACCGTTGTTAAACTCTATAAACACCGGACGTATTCGAATTTGATTAACGGGCTCTTACACAGACGATTTCGGTATAGAGGCTATCTTTAAATGCAAGCCAATCTCGATTTTTCTCGAATCGTTAACGATCGTTAATAACGAATTGTCGTCGTGTAAAACTACAAATTCTGAACGAGAAGAAAAAATAAAATAAAATCACTTCTAATTTTTGGTCTGCGGACAGTCAACTGTTTTTCTCGAAACTTATTGCACTTTAATCGTGGACGAAAGCATGACAGAGGATATATTTACCCCCGTCAAGAATATTTCCCTAGGATATTTTCACCTCCCTACAATTTCTTTCGCGGTAAATGTATCCTACAATATATTCGCCGGGCTGATAAATACTATTTGGGATGTGAGAATAGCCTGTTATGCACCGGCACGTTCCTGGAGGGCGGGGCGGTATAACAAGAGACGAGGGCGAGAATGATTTGTTTTTCTCCGGCGAAAACGCGGGGCCGACGTTTTGACACGTTTTCTGGCAGACCGGACGGCCGCCGCTGCCGCTGTTTTTGACCGGTCGCCGATTTCGACGAGCGCTCGGTCGCGGCGCGTACGCTTCTCAAGGGGGTGGGGGGCTTAGCGTGCGTTTGATACCGCGATTGGCAACCGTTCCCGGCCTTTGGCGACCGTACAAAGCGATGTATCCTTACAGGACGACGGGCGTCCTCCCGGTCATTGCGCGATTGAGCGAAATTCGCTTTTTATGCGACGCAATTGCGAACGTATTTGTCGGCGAATCAAAATGGTTATAGAAATACGAAAGAAAACCCACGCGATCGAGCATGAAAAGACTCTGCGATGTTACGATTTTCGATTTTGAATTATATTATACGAAAAAAAATATCAATTTAAATAATTACAATAATACGAAATATGACAAGAGTCAAAAAAACAATACGATTTCATGGTCAAATAAGTTAATTTTCCAGTTTGACGGTAATAATAATAGAAATTACTAATAGAGTAATGATTAACGCACTATGTGACACGGCCAGGTGATTGAACATTCATTACTGTAAAAGTCTATAACGGTCAGTATATTACGGATAAAACCTCTTTATTTTATTGCTGTGGATAACACTGTCGATAAAACTGAGCTCGGCTCGCGGCTCGTTTGAGTTTTAGTATCATAATAATATCGGTGTAACAATACGGTAAAATAATAAATTATACAATTTTGGCAACGTGAATGTAGCAACGTCGCGTAAAATTGTCTACGCTCAATCGTGTTGCTAAAAAGATATACACTAAACCGTGAGCATCCCTGATCCTTAATCGTCCTCCCGGGGGACTTCGATAACGGACGATATTTTCTACCTACGTTTGTGTATGTGTGTGTGTGTATAGGTACCGTCTGTCTGCACGTCAACCGGGGTTAATAAATCGAAAACCTAACCAGGTGGCGAAACCAGGAATTTCGTGTAAGGAGCAGGCTAAGTATCGCTAAGAAAATTTTAAAAAATCCTCATTAAAACTTTCTCTTCACTTGATTCATTAAAACTTTCTCTTCACTTGATTTTTTTTTTTTGAAAACGTGTTCTTACACCTAATAGATTATGTGATACATTTTTTTTTTTTTTTTAAATAAATCATTATAATCAGTTAATATTTGTATATGAGCTTGTTAAAATTGTTAAAATAGTTGTTTAAATTTATTAAACAGGCAATTTAATATTATAATTGCCATTTTAGGGGAGGAGAATTTTAAACCTTTCTGAGCCCTTTGTCATTTTTTCTTTTTAAAATATTTGTTCAGGTCTTTTTTGACGTTTTTAACCTCTTTTCTGTGGATTTTAAATCGATTGGATTTAACAAGATCAATGAGGAGAGCTATATCCCCCTTAGATTCCCCTCTGGATGTGTTTCTGACCGAACCAAATCCGTTTTACGTCCGGCACGTCGCATTCGACGAGGGTATAAAATTGTTGTCGTGGTATTTGAAACGTCCACTAAAAAAAAAAAACCCGAACGAGTCCGTGTTCAGAGAATTCGTGTCCCGGGTAAAAATGAATGTCGGTTTCAATATTTGATATTATAATTAAAACGGCGAAATAACGCCGGACAGAAAAGAAAAAGACTATTATTACTGCGCTATATTTAGTATATAAAAATGTTTATGCGGGGAAACTTGAAAAAACAAAAAAAATGTACAATTGTCGTTTTCTAAAAAAGATTATTAGAAAATTTTCGACGGTCGAAACTTTTGTTTGAGTAACCGGCGGACATTTATTTCCTACGGGTTTTCGCACACCGTGAACGTTATGGCGATTTATAATCGATGAGACGATATTTAACCGTGATAGCCGGCAGTATTATTTCGCGATCGTTGAACGCGGACGGCCGCGAGACACTCGCGTGTACACCCCGCCGCAATCGCAGACGCGTATACGTAAAAAAAAAAAAAAAAAACAACGGTATTTTAATTCTTCGCAATGTTCTTCGTGTTGCCATTTCGTCCGTGTTCCGTTTTTCAAGTAATACGCAATAAGTATCATAATTATTATAGCACAACTACTATAGTTTCGATTAAAAACCACGTGTTGTTTGACCCGTTTGCCCCGTCGCCACGGCCGTTGCTCATAAGAGGTAAACCAATCGAAAAACGCCGGAATAACGCCGTGCCTAATATTATATTAAATTATACTGTGCACGTGCACACAATGCGCGTTCTATGCTGCGCACGCGCTGCCATACGCTTTACGGTACCGTGTTCATCGGAACCGGCCCGGTTCGGTAAATGTTTGCAGGGGCGTAAAAACGCGCCCCGTACGCCGTCGCGACGTACCGCGGGTGTCTGCAACAACGCGAGCGCCGCGTCGAACGGCGGCGAAAACGGTCTGCGCCCGCCCGCATCGCCCGGTAAACAACAAACACGGCGACGCTGTGACGGGCGCCGCGGAGCCATTCGACTCGTGCGTGAGCACTTGCGCGGGTACGAGAATGACGGCGGCCGACGGAAAGGGCTGAACGCGGTTCCGCGGGGTCCATGTCGGCGCGCGTATCGGGGCGCGCGCGATTCCGTACGCTTCGTGCCGGGAGATTATCGGCGCGCGATGTCCGCCGGGTTTCCGTCGGGTCGCCGAGGCGTTCGGCTGTTCGGCACGGCCGTGGCGTTTTACGCGGACGGTTCCATCGCGGCCGTCGCGTACCGCGGAGGGTGTCCGGCCGTTTGCGACGGCGACCGAGTCACGTCGCGTTTTGGAGCAGAAGTCGCTGCGGGCCGCACGCACCGTGATTATCGTACGTTTTATTTACCGGTTTCGCCGTAGCCAATGATGCGTGAACGTATTTCAACGGGCTATTGCGTTTTACTTATAAAAGTCGCGGGGGAAAAAACATAATTATTTATACAATTAAAAAGGGCGTCATCAGTGTTGTATGTTAAGCGTTTACGGCGCGACAAACGTTTTTGTAATATTAATTATAAAGCATTACACAATCATGGCATATCACAGCACGATCGGTGGAGACTGTCCGTCGTTGTTCGTCTCGCAGACAATATTTGCGTTCAACTCCATTCCGACTTTTGGACTTTTACCGTTATCAGTAAAGAACTAGTTAATACGTTCGAGTTGCTATTCGTATTAATAATCCTTAACAAATCGGCGACAAAGAAAACAACCATGTTCATAAACAGTTATCGTTTATTCGTTATTAGTTTGTTTTTTTTTTTCTTAGATAACCAAGTTACTATCGTCTCGTACAAAGTCAATTTGTATTTACACTAATAATATATAAATGTCAACCTCTAAGGCAGAATCCAAAGTGAACTTCAATCAAATTATCGGGTCACCGGGAATTTTACAAACGGGCATGGATATTATAATTTTCTGGTCAAAATTGAAGAACTTTTTCTTGGCAAATTTAATCGAAAATATTATTCAAAAACGAGCCATATTATTATCGTCAATTAGCGGAGAAATACATAAAGTGCTTTACGGTTTATGCATTCTTAGCGTACCGGATGATATTGAGTATGCTAGTCATATAAAAAAGTTGAACAAAGTTCCAGAACATGTGAAGTCGTACTTCGCGGCTAGACATACATTTTATCAGGCCAAAAGAAGACAAGATGAATCTTTGTGCCAATAGGGTGCACGTGTCGAAAATTCAGCTTCAAAATGTGGGTTTTCGGCAAAACTAACAACTGTAATCCGAAACATATTTGCTGTCAGTATGGGTTCAGGACAAATGTATGATCGTCTCTTAAAATAAGACGCGTCAAAGTGTGGCGTAACGTATTCAAATTTAATGGAAAAAGATGGCACAGATCTAAAGTACTACAAAAAAAAAAAAAACAATGGATACGGTCAATTCAAGCGAAATTCGAACGTGTCCGAAAATCGAATTAAAATCAAAGGCAGAGTATAGAGCTCGCGGCCGTTCCAATCACGTTCAAAAAGACCGAAGGTTCAAAGATTATGAACGCAACAGTTGCGGTAGAAAAGGTCATATATCCATTTTATGTAAAAAGGGTAAGAATGAAAAGAAAAACAATAAAACAGAAAATAAATATTTGTCTAAAAATGATGATACAGTTAACTACGATCTTTTCAGTACATTTTTTCTGTATAATTGAACAGAACTTACAAAATAGAGCTGTGAAACCGTACACACTAGATTTAATTATAGAAAATAATAATGTACACTTCGGGATTGATACCGGTTTGCAATATAGTGTTCATTCAAAAAGATTGTGTTTAGTCAACTGTTTAGTCACATCACGTTAAAAAAAAAAAAAAAAAATGATACATCTCTTTCTGATCACGTCAGTAACGATATTAAACTGATAGGTAAAATACTTGTTAATTCGGACTATCGAAATAAAAAATGTATTATGCGCAATTATGCAATCGACAACGGTGGTCAACCGCCAATAATTGGTAGAGACGATTTAAGAAATTTAAAATGTTTCGGTTTGTTTAATATGGAAAACGACGAAAGTATAGGTAGCATGAAATGATATAGGTACTTTTAACGAACACGGAATTCCATTGCATGTCAAAGCTGGAGCGGTATCCAAATTTTATAAACCTATATCTATTCCTTTACGTTGAAAAACAAAAAGTGGAAACCGAAAATGAACGTTTGGTTAACAGTAATATTTCGGTACCTATTGACCGCAGCGAATGGACAGCTCCGATTGCTCCAATATCAAAACCAGACAGCGCAGTTAGAATTTGTAGGGGTTTCGAAATGACATTAAATCCGGTATTAAAAGGGACCGGATATCCTCTTCCGAAAATCGAACATTTTATGTGCAAATATAAGTGGTTCGGAATATTTCTCTGGAATCGATTTAAAAAACGCGCGTCAACAAACGGTTGTTGAAGAATCTGATCGCAAATACACTGTTATTAATGCATATCAGGGATTATTTGGTTATACCCGTAATTCGTTCGGAATAGAATCTTCGGCAGGCGAGTTCCAAAAACCTATGGAAATTTCCACGGTTGGTCTCAAGGGCATAGGAACACGTCAAGACGATATTATCGTAGCAGGTTCTACAATTGCAGAGCGCATTTGCTCGATTAAGCGAATTACTGAATGTACTTTTAGATTCGGGTTTAAAAGTAAAATAAATATTTTTTTTATCATAGTTGACACGACCGCAATACGGTTAGAAGTATTTCTAGCAAAATAATACGACAGCAGTTATTGTCGTAAACAAACTTTCGGAAATGATAGCACGATTCGGTATTCCAAAAACAATTACACCGGACGGCGCAAAACGTCTCGCAGGTTTTGAATTTCAATCGTATTGTAAACAATTAAGTATAAGACGCCACAACAAGCGCACCATTTCATCCGGAATCGAACGGCTGTGCTGTATCAGCAGTCAAAATAATTAAAAACTTTTTTTAAAAAACGTTCGATAGCACAATCGCAATTAAATACATTTCTTTTAATGTACCGTAATACATTTCATTCGACAACACAATAAACGCCAGCTCAGCTAATTTTAAGTCGATCGACTCGTTTACAGTTTTATGTATTCCCAGCGAAAGTGTTTTTGATCGACAAAAACGGAGGTGTTGGAATAATATCGTTTAATGTAGACGATGCGGTTTTAGCTGAAGATTATAGGAACGATAATAGTAAATGGCAAAACGGTAAGATCATCAAACGTACCGGTAACAACGCGTGCGACGTAGAACTTCACCGCGGAACTATTTGGAAAAGACATAATGTTCAATTACTAATCGACAAATCTTTAACACCTTTGATCGATGAATGACATTTCACTGATATCCGCCAGGAATCCGACGGAATGTCCCAATCCCATAATGATAGATAACACTCCCAGACCGATCGGGCCTAGGAAACCGCCACGGCGATACTTTCCGAGTGATTATTAATATTGTGATTTTTTTTTTTTTGGTCAATCGTTTTATTTTATTTTAATTATATTCGATAAAAACAATACTAACGTGTAAGCGACACTAACAATAGCATAGTATTAAGATTACTATACAAAAATATTGTTGTTTTTTTTTTTTTAAGAAAAGAAATATGTCGTATACAATCAAGCGTTTACGGCGCGACAAGCATTGTTCGTTTATGTTGCACGGGTTATAATTTATATACGCCGTGTGCTACGTGAACGCGACGGCTGAAGTAATCAAATCTGTATGGAAAAAGCAAAAACGGACGGAAACTTCCGACGTTTAGCGAAAACGCGGATCGCGCGACTGGACGAATTATTCGCGTCAGTCGGCTTGCGTTCGACAATCAAATTAGTTTGTTTTTTTAATAACGCGCGACGCTGCGATCACGTTGTCCGTTGCACATTGCGATCGTTTTAACGTAATGTAAATATTTAACGCGTTGAACGGAACGCAACGCGGACCGTGAAACGGAAATACTCGTATCCGAAGTTCAAAGGAGAAGCAAAACATAAGCGTTTCGTGGAACGAGTTTGATAGCGACAGAATTATCGCCGAAAAAATAGCGGAACATAGCAGCAAAACGAACGGATACGGACGGTGCCGATCGACCGTTGTACGTTACATTTCGAAGCTGTTCTTTTCCTTTTTTTTTTTTTTCGCGTACGCGTTTTGTACGCAACACACGTGTAATTGCAGAGTAAATTCGGTAAGAACCGCGTTCCGTCCGAAAGTCAACGGTTTTCGAATGAACATTCAAACGGTGATATTAGCGAAAAAGTAACCGCGCGGCCGCGCGTCGGACCAAACACAACGACGTACAATTGCACTCCGGCGCGTATCGATAATAATTAGTGTGCGCCCGACGCCCGTGCTCACCTAATACGATAAAGATAATATTTTCGTTATTGCACGGTTAAAAGTAATTTTTGTAAAGTCCATTCGATTTTCGACATTTTGATAGTCGTTCTCGAAATGAAATTGTCGATGAAATAAAATTTAAAAAAAAATAATAATAATAATAATAATAATAAAATAAAATTATACATAATGAATTGACGATATTGAAATTGGAGTGAGGGCCACGTTAAAATCTACCCCGGTATCATAGTAACGTTTGTACAACGTACAACAGCCGTACAATCGTTGTAATACATCGGATAGGGTTTTGTTGTATCCTATGACGAGATGTTTCGTTTTAATTATCCCCCGTGGTACGATACGCATTTTGACGATAGTCGCCAGTCCTGGTAACCACGCCGTTTTGTTTAAAGTTCGGTGTGACGTAGAAATCGAATTTCTAAATGGTCGATACGGAAACGAAGTGAAGTTTATTATTTCGGAAAAAAAAACGATCGCCTGTATGACCCGTTAACCTCTATAAATATATTTATTTTTTTTTTGAAATTAAACTTTGACTTTTTCGAGTCGGTCCAATTTTTTATAACGTTATTATTTAAGAAAATTAAACAAATTAAATATAATAAATAGTAAATATGGCAACATTGCCCGAAAAATCGTACGGAGTCGTGTTGTTTTTTGATAATCCATTGTTCGATCGAAATCTAACGGAATCGTGTTCCCAAAATGGTATACGGAGTCGTGCTTTACCGGACGAAAAACGATACCGAACAAGCGAGTACGTGCGTAATAATCAGTCGTACGGTTTCCGCGTTTATTCGGTCAACCGCCACGAGGAAAATCGAAAAACGATCCCCTCGCGATTATGCGTCGACCGAATAGAAAATCCGACGAGAAAATCCCCGCTTAAGGGCTTCGGTTGGAGCGAAATTTCCGGTACAAACGTTGTGTACGAACGCGGCAAATAAATAATAATAAGAAACACGTCGTAGTTAAAACTAAGAAATAGTCGTGATTTTTTTTTTTTTTTTTTGTTTATATGGTTTATCACGAGTTGTATTACTTTATATTTTCGTAAAAACCATAAATTCCCCGTCATTATTTTTCTAACCGTTCAAATTTATAATTTAATAAAAATCGTATTTATTATAATTATTAGAAACCGGATGAATATTCCTTTTTAATCCACGAAAAGGCGCTTAGAAAGTGAAAAAGTCCCCCCCAAAAAAAGCACTTGCTCTTTAATGGCTCTAAGATATCAAATTAAATACCACTATAAATGCGTGATGCTTTTTTGAAGTACTGTTTTTGGAAAAATTTAAGAGCATATAAATACAGTCTTTATTTATAAGCACTTTGAAGTTTTTAGTCATTTTTTTTTTTTACGATGTTTGACTTAAAATTATGAAATTTAACATGAATTCGTTATCGGTGTTTTTTAATCTTCCAGTGAAAACCAAAACGTAATATCTTTGTTCGTTTATGATTTACAGTGGCGAATTAAAAATCGGTGACGATACGCACCCCTTCGGATCTGTAATAAAATATTTGATGGCTTCCCTGTCACGAAGACCCAGTAAAACCTATGAACATGTCATTCGGTCGTCTATATCGGAGATAAAATTAAAATTTTATTACTGTAATAGTTTATAGTGCGTTGGAGCGACAAAAATATTTTTCTCGAAATTTCAGAAAAAAACGCGATTAAAAAAAAACAAAAAAAAATTACTAAAAATATCGAAGAAAAATGCGTTTATCAATCCTACGTAATATGAAACACGTACTATGCGATACAAATGCCTATAGAAACAACATTCGAACTCCGTTATTATCGATCCGTACTCATTGTAACTCAGCGCCGATACAAAACTCAATTTCTCGGACCGAAAATAACGGGCGAAAAGAAACACATTACGCCGCATTATCAGATACTTAACCTCAAATATTTACAATAACGGGAGTAAGTGTAAAACAGTTTGGAATTCTCCTTTTTCTTTTTTACGTATAGACGATATATTATATTATGGTTTATCGCTGTACGTATAATAAATAATTCAATGACGAGAATACACCCCATAAAAAGAATACTCTCGTCGATTCCGGCGGCGTTGGCAGTGGCGTTACAATATTATATGGTATTTCGAAAGTTCGTTCACAGATATTATTATATTATACTGACAACCGTAGGCGTGTCCGGACTTCCGCGGTCGGGGCGGTAGGTTGTGAGCGTCGAGGCTTTTACTGCGTACACAACTAAGACTCGGCCGAAACTCTTTTCTCGTGGCGTGTAAATAATAGTGCGGCGCCTTCAAAAAAAAAAAAAAAAATGTTCTGCTGGTCTTAGCCCCGTGTGTCACGCTATTATTGCCAACAATATATTACACTGCCAACGAGTCACTATAGTTTGCGACTGTTATACAATATACTATGTCCTATACAGACCATGTTGCTGTTGTTGTTGTTGTTGTGTTTTTTTTTTTTTTTTTTTTAATACGGACATTGGGAAATCGGTTTGAACGAAATTTGACTAAAGCCGTTAATCCGGTGTTTTTCCCTCGAAGAATCCCTTCCACGTCTCAGTGCGGTCAAGTCATATTTTTTCAGAAAACTTTATTTGAAACGTATTTTATAAGTGTATTTATACGTCATAGTGCATAGCTTATAGGTAGATAACGCTAACTAAAAACGCTTGTACGCTGTGTACGATTTTCCACGGTGTATAGTGTACAATTTTTATAAATAAAAAAAAAAAAAAAAAAAAAAAAAAAAAAAAAAACGGCAATCGGCCGCCCTACGCGTTGCCGGTCCGCGCGCGAAACCCGAAACGATTCCGCCCCGTACGCTCGCTTTTGATCGTTCGATTGTGCCCGGCCAATAATCGCGCGCGGACTCGGCTCGTCCCGAAATCCCGGAAAACGCCGCGAAGTCGCCGCGGGACGGGCGGCCGCCCGCCCGTCTGCCGCCTACCCTGTTTCGCGCGCGGCCGGGCGGCTGTTTTATCCGATTTCGGCGGCCCGCCAATCGCGTCGCCGGCTCATTACCATCCGTGCCGCTGCCGCGGTAAACCGCGCCAATAATAACCGTAATGAAATGACATCGACTGTACTTGACGATACGCACGGTCGTACACGCACGGGCGGAGGCGGTTGCCTACGTCGCGGCGAAAACTTTTCCCGCGTATTAAACAAACGCCGTCGCGACTTTCGCCGTAACAATTTTTTTCTTCCCCCTACTCTTTCGTCTTTTCGTCGTTTTCTCCGTATTATATAATGGAAATTATTACGCGAATAAAGCCGTTTGTTTTTTTTTTTTTTAATATCTCCTTGTCCCGGTACCTGGTACCCGTACGTTATACCGGTCGCGAACGCCGTTACGGCCGCCGTTCTTTGACGCGCGCTCGCTCTGTCGCCGATATTCGAATCCGGTACCGATTCGGTCTCGTTTTCGAATTTAATCGCCGTAATTTTCACGGACACGCGCGACACCGCGCGTATACGCACGTACCGCGCGATGTTGCGATTTATTTTCTCCGTTTCTCCGGGCTCTATAAAATAATATTTCCGCGCGCGCGCTCGGGCCGTTCGTTCAAACGCGAAATATCGCGTACGCGTTATTATGCCGCCGCGCGTACGGATGGATGTACGCCGTCGTCGCCGCATACCGCACGCGTTACAGTTGAAACACGAACGGAAATTAAAATAATTAAATGTAAAAGTTGCTCGGCGTACATTTCCGCGCGGAAACACCGCAGCCGTATAATAACATCGGTAACAAACGATACGGGGACGGCTGCCGGAGGAGGATAAAGGAGACGAGGTAAAAAAAAAAAAAAAAACCGATCCGATGATATCATTAAACTATAATGTATAATACTGTTTACTACTCGTTCGTAATAATAATAATAATAACGCGACGCGATATTACTGCGGCATAAGCCGTGTCTGCGCCGCGCAAGCAAAGTTTACCCCGCCGAGTCTCTTCATAAATATTAATTATTTCAATGCGAAATCCGCCAAACGAATTTGAATTGAAACGCGCGTGCATATATAATACGTCTGTATGCGCGTATACGGACACGAACGCCGCAGTGTTCCCGCGAACGTAATCAACATAATTTCTCGTCCAAACAACGCGAACAGAGTCTTTTCCGTCCGCGTATAAATAACATTTATAAATGTTCGGTGTTGCGCGTATAATATCGCCGTTGTGTATCACTGCAGATACCTACTGTTGTTATTATCGTCTTAATGCGCGAAGCGACTAGATTTACGGAGTCGACTTTACGCGTAAATCCGAAGCCGCGAATTCCGTTGTTCGACCCGTTACACGTTTTTATTTAATTTGAATTTTTTTTTTTTCCTATGTTTTTCGTCTGTTCGCTCGCGCCGTCGCCGCGGCTGGTGACGCCGTGGCAAATGGAGTACGCGAAAAAACGGACTGACCGGCGGTGAAATTTTAACGGACCCGCGTCCGTTTCCGTGCGTCCGGAAACGTCTCCGATCAAACGACGAAAAACACTATCGGGCGCGTGACCGATCCGCCGAGTCTCCGCGTGTAAAAGCACTCGGCGTAGTCCGCCATCTCGCAGATGATGTCTGACCGAATGTCGGCAACGACGCGTGTGATCACTGCCTACGATTTTCGATTTTCGCACGTGGTTTTTTTTTTTTTTTTTTTTTATGTACCCCCGTGACATCACGTTCGGCCCCACGGAAAATGAAAGCGTAAGGTCACAAAGACCTAGTTTGATGATGACCTCTTTATCACCGCGCAGAGACGTCACTCTGGATATCGGGAATTTCTCGTCGTCCGCGTTTTTATAAAATAACGAGATCGTGAAATTGTACGTTTTTCCGCGTTTTTTCTCCCACTCGAGTGCTTTTATTTGAAAAAATGACGTCGAAAATCAAAAAAAAAAATATCATTTCTATAAAGTACAACGCGAGCCATTAGAGAAGTCGCTTCGCGTAAAAATCGGAGCGAGTTCACTAGGAAAAAACGCGTCCACAGACTGGAACAATGGAAAAAAAAAAAAATAAACATAATTTTAAAACCAATAGGTCCCCCTCTCCGCGCTCGGACCGAATGGAACATTAACGGTTATAATTTACGTTCAAACATTTCGCACTCCGAACACGGACCGAATCGGTTTTCGCATAGCCCGTTTGTTCCGGGGTCCGATGTGATATTATTGCGTACTGTACTATTGAGGGTTGTGCGGCGCGCAAGATATTTGGATTTCTCATTTGTACGATATCGTTAATCGCGATTGTATCGTTTGTTTGTTCGATACTCGTCGTGTTGTGTAACGCGACGTTCGACAGTAACTTAATTAACTGAAACGCGCAACGACGACCGTGCGTTTTATATCGATTCGTGACAACAGCGTAAAACATTTGTTTTTTTTTTTTTTTCCATTTTATTCGGTGTACTACTGCGCAGCACTGCGCGGCGTTTCACGTGTGTAATATTAATTATTGCCCGAAAGTTTAGCGTCGGTACAAATTTGTAAAATGTTTACCCATTTGTATTTTTCGTGGTTTTTTTTCTTTTTTTTTTTTCTGTTTATTCTACCCATAGGTATAATACGCCGCGGCGGCTATAGTTGATTGGATTCGATATTGACACGGAATATATGTATTCCGAAAAGCAAAAATAAATGATTAATGTCCGCGGCGTACTTGTAAATATATGTATAAAGAAATATTACCAATAACAGTATTATATTTCCGGAACGAGGCGGAGATCAATGGTTCGCATTAAACTCGATAATATTTTAACGCTGACAAGCCGGCCGTCGCGCCGCGTCCCGCGATGTATTTTTAGAGAAATAGAGAGAGAGAGAGAGAGAGAGAGATAGGCACTTTGAAAAATTAAAAATTGATAGTATAGCCGGCGTAAAAAAAAACTGTGGGTAGATTGGTGGGCGGGCGGGCGGGTACCTATGTACTTTACGGGCGGACGCGAT